GAGACTTTCCAATGGCACGCCAAGGGGGCTCTAGTCATGTTTCCCTCCCTCGCAGCCTGTTTTGCACCTTCTGTCATCTTTTTTGACTTATGTAGATGGACAGTTTTGCTGCCCAGGGTTAATTTTCTGAGGATTATGGCAGACTCTCAAAGGACAGTAATGTTTTGCTTTCCAAGTGACAGATGTACTGATTCAGGGTACCTCTGACTTGATACCTGCAATCTACACCTTTGGGATAAGGTAGGTTTAGAATACAACACAATTTTATTCTGTTTTATACTTGAATGTGACTTTTAACAACATTGTATTGCTGTTTATGGTTGTGTTGTTCTGTACAGTATTTTTAGCTACCCTGTGCTCTAGTTAGGAGGACAGGTGGGAAATAAGTAAAAATAATAATGTTAAATTATGGTTTAGTGTTATATGTAAAACTGGCAACAGTATCTTGAGAATTTCCTATCAATCCATTATCTTCTATATAAAGGTAAAGGGACCCCTGACCATTAGGTCCAGTTGTGGATGACTCTGGGGTTGTGGCGCTCATCTTGCTTTATTGGTCGAGGGAGGTGGCATACAGCTTCCAGGTCATGTGGCCAGCATGACTAAGCCGCTTCTGGCGAACCAGAGCAGCGCACAGAAACGCCATTTACCTTCCTGCCAGAGTGGTACCTATTTATCTACTTGCACTTTGACATGCTTTCGAACTGCTAGGTCAGCAGGAGCAGGGACCGAGCAACGGGAGCTACCCCGTCGCAGGGATTCGAACCTCTGACCTTCTGATGGGCAAGCCCTCAGCTCTGTGGTTTAGACCACAGCGCCACCCACATCCCTGTCTTCTATATAGTCATAGTCAATTTATTTATACACCACATTTTCTCGAAATACTTTAGTGCTCAAAGCAGTTCACAGGAAATAAGCAGCGTACAATAATAGTACATATATACTTCCACAATAGTAGATTTAAACATTTGTTTTTGCAAGTACTGAAATCATTCTCTTTTTGGTTTGAAATGACAGTGACAAACATAGAAAGTATCCTTTTGGAAACGATTCAAATAAATCTAGTTCTACTAAATCTAGCCTAAACTAGCATTTACTGTATATTATTAATTTATATAAAAACCATTTATACACCACTCACAATTCAAGAATATTCAAGTGGCTTACAACAACTAAAGCACAGATTTAAAGCAACACATTAAATAAAAATTAATGACTAATTAATAAAAAGCAGCACCCATAATTAACTGAAGTCCAAACTGCACAGCACTAATGGGTACCAAAAACCCATATATAAAACAGTTTTTAAGAAGCATAATATTCTCAGCATTTTTCAAAATAACATTGAGGGAGGGTGATGGTTATTAGCAACTCATTATTGCTTTAATAGTAAAACATGAATTTATTATTGACATGTTAATTCTTGTTAAATAGTGTATCTGTGTGCTATAAATCTATCATTTAAACACTTGTTTAAAAAAAGAGAGAGAAATAACAAAATGTTTAGGGAAAATTCAAAGTGCTGCCATAGCCTGGGAAGGAAGACAAGCTTTGGCAAAGGTTTCTCAGTCCACTTGATGCCATATATCTAACCCTGTCCCCAGGGAATGAGAGTTCCCACACATGCATCCCTCCTGTAGCATTTCATTTTAGAAATGCCTTTGAAGCACTTTCTCTATTCAGCAGGGATGGCTTATTACACATTTTCCTTAGGGCTGCAATTAATATTTCTCCCTGTAGAAATCCCCTACTGGGGATTCCTGCAGCATATGATCAAAAGCTTCAGAATATTCTTGTAAGCATTTTCCAGCTGTACGCCTGATCTCTAACAGGCTAAAAAGGTTTTTTGACCTTAGTCTCAAAAGTCTGCTCTTCAACTTGGCCACAAAGTTCCATAGCAAAGTCCCCTCAATTTCCTCCTTTAAAAGTATCCTGTGGCAGTTGCTCTCTTGATTTACACAGAATGGTAAGGGACGGACTAATAACTACCCAGATACTCCCAAATGTGATATCTGATAACATAACTTAAATCAACTGCCATAAACTATTAAAGAGAGGTCATTAGATATAGTAGAGCACATTCTCTCATCCTTTGTATACAGAAAAATGGTGTCTGGTATCTTCAGCTAAAAGTAAATCACGTAGCAGAACTATGAAAGACCTTTGATGGAAGCCTCTGCAAATCAGAGAAGAAATCACTGGACTTTGTGGACTAATAGCTTGACACAGTATGAGCCAGCTTTTGAATTCACAGTGAAGAATACCAGGAAAATATGTGCTGGTGTGATCCGTGCTGATGTGGTGCGTGGCGTGGGGAAGATCAAGAGTGGAACCCAACATTGCACAAGCAGATTTCTACTCACATATTGGTACTTCACCTTCCTCTCCCCTGTTTAGCTCAACCTCACAGCCACAAAATCTGCTCAAGGGATAAGAGCGTGACGTCATGCAGGGGGCTTCAAGTGGAAGAAGAAAGTGGTCCCATTGTGCAAGTGGAAAGCTCTTACTTGTAAATAGGGAAAGGATCTTCACTGAGGCAGTGTAATGATACAGACTCAGCAGCAGCAAAAGAGCCATTCAGGTCCAGAGCTCTTTCAAGTTGAAAGGTTGGCTGGGATGGGCCTGCTCCAGGAAAACAGGTCAAGACGCACAAGTCTGGGGTCAGCTACAAGAAGTTCAAGACAGCATGAGAGCTGATAAGCTGTTCTAACGCTTTTTCCACTACTTTCTTGCTGCTTGAGTGGTTAGTCTGCAAGCAGATGCTGCGTTTATGTGGATGTGTCTGGTTCCTTCTCCTGAAGTGGCAACTATTCCCAGAAGAGAGCACTAAACCTGCCCTCCTCCCCCCCAATCCAGCCTGGCCACCCCAGGCTCAGGCTCCATGCTCTCTTTCCATCAGGAGGGGATGGAGCTGGAAGTCCCATCTCTACACTAAAGTCAAACAGAATCTTGAAAGAGAAGAGGGAGGAAAGGACTTCCATCTATTCCAACCTCCTCCTCTGATTCCTCTTTTCCCTCTGGATTCTGCCATCTTGGGGCCAAGCCCAACAGCACCAAAGGAGTCATGACAGGCCATTCTGTTTACACATGGATAACACTGGATATAAGCATGTAACATCTTTGGGGTCTAATACAAGGCATCTGGTTCACACAGATAATTGGAAAAACTATTACTGTGATCCTTTTGGGGATTTCATAAATATTGAAGCTGAAACTATTCCTAACAACACCCCTTTCTTTGAAGTATATTATGATATTATAATTTGCTCTCCTTTAGCCAATAGGATCTTATCTTTCATTATTCTTCTGTGCATTAGTATAACTTTGTAACTTATGTATCACTTATAAACAACACTGATGGAACAAGTTATATCAATCTTTAGAAGAAGTATAAACATGGCAATCAAAATACTAACGGGGCAATTCAGTTGCTACCTCTAAATATACCTTCAGATAATCTGTTTCCTCCAAGGACATCTGAAGTTGCATGGCCACCACCATCTCAAGAAGCTTTCCCAAGAAGGAAGTATTTGTCACTGGGTAGTATATGTCACACAACTCAGGGTTATTTGTTAAACACTAAAGTTAAGGGAGCTGTTGGCAAAATATAAATTACCCCCCTTCTCTGTGTGTACACCTGTGACATCATCAAATCTCACACAGGTAGCCATGAGCGTAGCCAGGGGGGGCAGGGGAGCAACTGCCCCCCAGACCAAATGAAACAATAGAAATACTTAGCTAGCAGACCAATCATGTCAGTTCTGTCCCCCCCCCCTAACAAAGTCCTGCCCACCTAAAAATAATCCTGGCTATGCCCATGCAGGTAGCTACCAGATTTCTGGGGTCCTGCCCCATCCCACTGAGTGACAGCATCTGGGAGCCACTGTTTTAATTTTCCACAGTGCCCTGGATGACTCTGGAGAAATGTGGCAAATTAAAATGGCAGCTCCAACCTCCCTGGTACTGATCACACAGTGCTGCAGTTATCTCTCGCTTAAGGCCCTCTCTCAAACCTGGAGCTGGTATTGTTTCTAAGTGTCTACTGTGTACAGAGGTAACAGCAAATGCTCTGCATGCAAAAGGTCCCAGGTTCAGTCCTCAGCATCTCCAGGTAAGTCTAGGAGGGACACCTGTCTGAAATCCTAGAGATCTGATGCCCATCAGTGTACTGTAGACAACGCTTAGGTAGGTGGGCCAATGGTCTAACTCAGTATAACACAGATTTCTGTGTTCCTTTATTTTAGGGGAAGGGCAGTTGTTTAGTGATAGGCTACCTTCTTTGGATGCAGATAATCCCAGGTCCAGTCTCCCAACAGCTCCAGGTAGGACTGGGTGAAACCCCTGCCTGAAGGCCAGGGATTCGCTGCCAGTCAGTGTAAACAATAATGAGGTAGGAAGTACAGCTTAGTATGGTATGGCTCAGTATTATGGCAGTGTCCTGTGTTCTTAATATTCAGATCCTGTTACTGGTTACACACACAGGCTTGTACAAATATGTGCATTGTCTGCATCAACATTCCCTGTAACTATTTTTGACAGTTTCGTATTAAACACTTAGTAGCTTCATACGGCATTAATCCTGTTTACACAGAAGTGTCAAAGCTGTGCTTGAAAATTATCCTTGAATTTGACTGCATTCAATTGTAATCCTGCTCAACATGCAAGAGTCTAAGGATGGAGCTGCAGACTGCATAGCTCCAACATGAAAAACATGGGAAGCTGCCTACTAACCTGGTATTGTCAACACTGACTGGCAGCAGCTCTCCAGGGGTTCAGACAGGGAAGGGGCATTCCCAACCTTACCTGAAAATTGAACTGCTTGCAAAGCAGATGCTCTACCACTGAGCTTCTTCCAAGCATGAGTAAGTATGGTATTTAGGATACACTGGCTAAGGGATGCAAACTGTGAGCACCTTCCAGCCCTCTGAACAGAACAAGGTGGGCAGCTGCCAGGAGCAGCTGCCAGGCTTTGGTCATTGTTGGCTGACAAAGGGAGACACGCAGCTCAGTTGGTTAGAGTGTGGTGGTGCTGCTAACACCAAGGTTGCAGGTTTGATCCCAGCTGCATATTCCTGCATTGCAGGGGGTTGGACTAGATGATCCTCAGGGTCCCTTCCAACTCTACGATTCTATAATTCTGTAAGTCTTTTATCCAAGTTACAAAGTGTGGATCTTCCCACCATTCAGCGGAGTCACATTCTGCACGGATTCCAGCCTGATAACTGGGACTGCAAGGATAAAGCTGTGAGAAGAAAGTTGAGCTCAAACTTTATTTCGTGGAAGATCGAGATTAAATTCCAGAAAATACTGTTCACAAGCTATAACCTGCCCAATTTATTTTACTGACTTCCTCAGGCTGGATTCAGAGACCACTTTTGAAGGTGGTCTGGACATAAGGAGAAGCACCATAGTACAGTGGGTAGGGCATCTGGTTTGCATGCAGAAAGTCCTAATGTCCATCTCTAGATAGCACTGGGAATGTCCACGGTCTGAATATAAGGTCTTACAGGGTGGTATGAAAGTGCAGCAGCTGAACAAGAGCTTCCAAAATTATGCCGTGCACACAGACCTCTCTACGTGGCATGTTGTAACATCACCAATAACTATATTACCTGGGCACAAAAACATGTTCGTGAACAATGAAGAAATGTCCATCACATATCACCAGCATAGAAATACCTGAACTCTAGGAATGGGAAAGTAAAATCTCGGATACCTTTTTGGGAGTTACACTAGTTTTCTTGTTTTGTGAAAGGTGTGAATACTTTATGAAGATTGTGATATTTCTGCTGCAACACTGTTTTCATGTATAGCTGCTTATCTGTGATTTAATCTATTTGGAGGAGCTAGCTGAGAAGACTCTTATGGCTGCAAGGAAGGCTAATTTACTTTAATGCAGTAGTCCAGGTGGAAACCATTAGGAATCTAGCCAGCCAGGAAGGAAGGAAGGAAGACTGGTGAATGAGAGAGAGAGAGAGAGAACACAGAGGAACTATTAAAGACTTCTATGAGCGGTACCTGCAGCCAAAGCTGTGAAATGTTCTTCAGGATATGGTTTGGATGAGTGCTTTCCCTACTGGAAACCTATTATCTGTTTAGGGTAATTGAAATCTGGGCCTTTTCTAAGCATTATACTCCATGTTCATCTCCTCTCCTGGTCTGAACACTTATTTTGTTTAAAAGGCAATGCAGTGGAAAAAGAAGCAGCAGAAGCAGACTGCACCTCTTTACCATCTTAGAAATCAATGGCACTTAAGAATGTTGGTTTTTCCCCATCCTTGCATAGCGCTGGCAACTAAATAAATATAATAATAATAAATATAATAATAATAATTTATTTACACCCCGCCCATCTGGCTGGGTTTCCGCAGCCACTCTGGGCAGTTCCTAACAGAATATTAAAAACACGATAAAACATCAAATATTAAAAACTTCCCCAAACAGGGCTGCCTTCAGATGTATTCTAAAAGTCAGATAGTTGTTTACTTCCTTGACATCTGATGGGAGGGCGTTCCACAGGGCAGACGCCACTACCGAGAAGGCCCTCTGCCTGGTTCCCTGTAACCTCACTCCTCGCAATGAGGGAACCGCCAGAAGGCCCTCGGCGCTGGGCCTCAGTGTCCAGGCTGAACAATGGGGGTGGAGACGCTTCTTCAGGTATACTGGGCCGAGGCCATTTAGGGCTTTAAAGGTCAGCACCAACACTTTGAATTGTGCTTAGAAACGTACTGGGAGTCAATGTAGGTCTTTCAAGGACCGGTGTTATGTGGTCTCGGCGGCCACTCCCAGTCACCAATCTAGCTGCCACATTCTGGATTAACTGCAGATTCTGGGTCACCTTCAAAGGTAGCCCAAAAATAACAACAGTATCCAAAATCTAGATTACTAAAATATAATATCAGCCCTGCTTTACTCAGAGTGGAACTTCTGAAATCAATGGGCCTAAACTTTGGACTCATTCACACTTCCTCTTGTCCTGCTGGCTTTCCCCCAAGCCACTCTTTCATACTCAGTTGAAGCAAACAGCTATTTAGGTTCTCTCCAGATTGACGTTTGCTCTGATTTAGCACTGAAAAACGGGTTTTCCCTTGGAAAGGAGCAGGACAAGGGGAAATTGCTCAGACCTGTGCTTTCTAGGCATGGGACAAGCAGAAGTGTGGATGACTCCTTAGTCATGCTTATAAATTTAAATGGCTCTACTCTGAGTAAAGAATAGTTGAATATCACCCTATGTTCCCAGTCTAATTTGACTCCCCATTCACTAAGTATTAAACTAACCCCAGATCTTTTATGTGACTAGCTGCACCTTGATACCTCAAAGGACTAAGGCAGAGATGTGTGGGAGGTAGGCTGGTAACTTTAGATGATTTGTTTACAAGACTGATATAATCCCAATATAACATTTAATACTCTCTAGCAACCTTGCTTTGGAATACATTATGACTCGTTAAAAGCAAATCTAAAAAGCCACTGTAGGATATTATCATTCAATTGTTTAATTTATCTAACTAAAAGATAACAAGAGACAGACTATTAACTCAGTAAGATAGTCATAAGCATTTGGAGATGAAAATTCGCTTGATCATGACTGTTTGCTTGATCAGCAATCTAAACGAATTATAGTATAGTGTTTCTTCAAAATTTCTTTTTAAAGCAATAGTTTTAATATGCCTCACTTACAGTAAACAAATGCCAACAAATCGTCATGTCTCAGTAGGAGGGAAATAACACCATTATATAATATATATATATTAAATAAACCTGGGTATGATAAAAATTGGATAAATGCAGACGTTGATGAATCAGAAGAATAGAGAATTTTCAGTACTGCACCGTGAAACAAAACAATTATTGACAAACAATTATTCTGCTTTCTTCCAGTGGCCAAAAATTGAACACCCAGAATTAAACATGTTTGGCCATCGAAACCACAAGAGTTCAACAACCTAAAATCAGTTTTAGATTGTAAAGACTGAAAATAAGGGACTGAAAGCAAGAATACAGTACTGAAGTGTAATGCCTCCATGCACATGGGAAAAAATGCTGGTCATTCCATCTCAGAAATGATGCCATGACCCTAGAAAGACTCAGAAAATGGCAACCAAAAATCTCAAGGGCTTAGAGCACCTTTTCTTCAAGGAAATGCTAAAGAACTTAGGATTTATTATTATTACTATTTTAGGATAAAGACTGCTTGTGGAGGGAAATGTTGCAGAGATTTATGAAATTGTGAATGGCGTGGGAAGCTAAGAGAAAAGTATGTTTCTTCTTCTCTAATAATTCTAGAGCTAAGGATCACCAATAAAATGGGTTGTTGGGAGGTTCAGAATGAAAAAAAGACGAAAGGACGCTGCACTGTATGGAGCGGAGTGTCCAGTTTATAACACATTTCTCCTTATGTTCACATTTTGAAATTGAAGAAATGTTGAATTTCTAATCCATGCTTGGAGAGGAGCTCGCTAGGAGTCTGTGCCTGTGTTCAATGTCAAGTGCATTGAGACTGCTCCCTCCTTTCCTGGTAACTTTAAAAGCTGAGCACCGTGCCAGAGGCACAAGCCTTAGATGTGAGCTGACCAGGAATAGCTAACGAGCTTGTCTCCTCCTCAGGGCCGTCTTACCCATAGAATCTAGGGGTGCAGGGCACCCAGGTGCCGGGCTCGCAGGGGCGCCAGGCCAAGAGTCCGGGGCCTAAGAGTTGAGTCCGGGGAAGATTCCGCCCGCCAGTCAGAGCACTGTGGCGGGCTCTTCTGCTGCGCTGCGAGTTCAGGGACGACCGAGCCAGCGAGATGTTGAGGCGGCCGGCTGGCTCAGGCTTCCTGCGCGCCTGGGACTGGGCAACCTGGGGGGGCAGGCAGATCTTTGCACCCCGGTGCCGCATATGCTTAAGACAGCCCTGCTCCTCCTCTTTGCCTGTACTAGGAAGCCTTGGGCCTTTATCAGAAGATGGGATGGGGAAAAGGAGCTATATTAAATGTTCCACATGGGGAAAAGAGGTTACAGACAAGCTGGCTCTTCAAAGGAACCTATTGCCACACCCCTCCAAAAACAGCAGCATCTTCTTTCAGATATTACTGGAAAATAAGTTATTTCCATTATTGGAATTGTTTGATAATATGGATTATGTGGGGACAGAAGCAGAACAGCTGAGATTTGTCATCACCAGACTTTTATTTTATTTTTTTATTAAAAGGGCAATGCTTCTCCTTCTGTGGTCAGTACAGCTGATGAACCTTCACTATCTGAAGTTGTAAATAATCAGTGTCTCTCAAATGTGAAGTTACTAGAACATTTGTTCGGTACGCTGAGAGAGGCACAAAGCTCATTATTAAAACTGGTGGAGGAACAAATGTTTTAAGAGCAGTAGTGCTCAAACATCATGGCCCAAATTGCAATCGGCTATCTAAGAATTGTGCTGTAATGGAAATACTTCTCCTGCATCTAATGTTAAGAAAAAATCTACAGTTTTGGAATTCACAGAACAGAGGCAAATACACCATCTGTATAGAATGCCTTAGGACAACTTGCTTTTCCCTTGCCAAGAGGACACTTGCTAGGGTTGGCAAAAATAAATCACAAGCTTTGCAGCATTTTAAAACTTTGCTGGGAATCTGTGCCAGAGCTGGTAGACAAGATGTCAGAAGTATAGTTAGACTACCTGGTCTGGATCATGCACAGATTTCAGAGACCAAAGAAGCATTTATTTACTGCAACAGTGTATGTAAAAGGATCTTCAGGACAACTAACATTGGAGCATTACTAAGTACTAAGACGAAACCAAAAAAAAAGGGCCACAAAACCTGAGCAAAGGGAGAAACTCAGTCTAGACAGTATCTGTCAGCACAAAGAGTTTCACTTGCCCAACAGGACCCCACACTTTTTAGTGCTGCCAGCAGAAGATCCATAGTTCACTTTCTCCAGTAGTACTCCTACCTCTGCCATTCATGGTAGGAAATCATTCTGATGGGAGGGTGCCTGTAGGCAGCTGGTGGGAAGAGTGTCACTGCCTGGAAATTGGACATAATCCTGGAGGCTCCTGAAACTGCCTTCGAGGCAATTCCCCAGTTCCTAATGGAAGCTACCTAGAGGGAGCAGTGAAGCACGAGACTGAATAATTTAGCCCATCAGTGGAGATATGCCTAAAAAGAGCGTAAGAAAGTCATGCTTTAGTGCCACTAGGTACTCCTCCAATTACGACACCATGTGTGGTCACCAATGGACCTTTTGCGAGGTCATATGGTCCCTGATTTCATTGTGGATATAGCACTGCAGAAAGCTCAGCAGCAAGTTGTTCATATTCTTTTTAACCTATAGACACAAACCAGACTAGCAGAAGTGTGGAAGTCAAGCTCCACTCTTTGTGGCAATGCCGTAGTTGGGATGGGTGCAATGAAGGGAGTCACAGTCAGAGGGCCAATGGTCAACCTACATTCCAAAAAAATCTTAGAGCTAACCAAGCTAGAAGAACCCTTGAACCACTTCCTTGGGCTGTCGGTGTGTTTTCTTCATCTGAAGCATTAAGTTAACTGCACTTGGTTCCCATTAAAATCAATGGTTCTTCTCATATTGACTTTAATGGAAACTAAGTGCAGTTAATTTAAGTCTGGATCCAACCCTTGGTTACTTAAGGCTAAGTTTAGCTTACTATTAATACAATTCATTCATTGGGAGCCAGGTTGGTATTATGTTAAACATTTGCATTCATGTTTTCATGCATTTTAACAAAAATTGAATGCCACATGTCATTTCCTACAATTCTGTATTTATTCTGACTTCCTAATTCTTTGACTCTTAACACCTTTCTGCCTTGTTAGATCATCTACAGTCACCTGCACAACACTTACGGAGAGGCACAGTGCATGCGCAATATTTGGTCTTAACAGAATGCAGCTATATTGGAAACATTTAGTGTAGACACAAGCTATGCGCACAGCATAGTAAGCTATATTTGATTGCCTTTGGCAGCGTTTATTCTAATACTTAAAGGACAGAATGTAAAACATTCTGTTTCATTGAGAATCTAATGTGCAAGCTTCAAGCACTGAAAATGTGTGCTGCCATCAGTCCATCAATAGGGATATTTTTAGAACACGCAGAATCAATCATTATAATTCTAGTGGGGGAAAGAAATGTAGTAAACATGCAGTATGAAATGAAAGCCCTCTCAAGTAAGGACAACAGCAGTGGCTTCCAAGTTTGACTTTTGTAGTTCCACAAGCTAATGCTTCCTCCCGACATTTTAGAGGATTGAACATCTTTAAATAAATTGGAATCCCTTGCTGGAAACAGTAGCTTTCTAATTCTGTATAGTGCAGGAAAAGAACTTTCTAAAAATGAAGATGGCAAGTCTCTAGCTTCAGAGCCTATGCCAAATGTAGTGAGGTGCTGAGTGAAGCCAACATTTTCTCATGTACCCTTCCTAAAAAGACGAACTTCACAAATAGCAGTGTGGATTGCCAAAATCCGGTCTGCTACAGTACCAGATCATGACTTGGACCCTGCTAAGTTTAACTCATATAAATATTATTAATTATATGCCTCTGTCTATGCCCAGCATCACACCATTACAGTTTAGAGTTAGAAACTGTATTGTGGTATAAAGGGGATGAATGAGGTAGCCAAGCTTGCAAATGACACCAAATTATTCAGGACTGTGAAAATGAGGGGGATTGCAAAACGACTTGTCCAAATAGTGTGAATGGGCAATAAAATGGCAGACTGGGAGCATTTACTATTTTTTATATGTACTGTCAGCCACCCAGAGTGGCTAAGGAAACCCAACCAGATGGGCGGGGTATAAATAATAAAATTATTAATATTATTATTACTAATTTCATACATACCTTCAGGGAGGCCCCTTTGGTCAGCCCTATTTGCCCCCACATGGGGCAAAGTCAAAGCAGATGAAAAATCCAATTAGGTTTCTCATTCAGTCACACACACACACACACACACACACACACCCTGCTGGCCTCAGATAGGGGAGGAAGGGCATTTACATGCTTAGTTCTCACTTCAGACACATAGGCAAAATAGTGAAGCCACCACCCTTATGAAACGAATGTGGCTAGCCACAGAGTCCATCCTCAAACCCCAACAGCTTGTGAGGCTGCTGGGCTTCACTTTGAGTCCCAGTGGCTCTCTTGAGGTTGGACCTTGGAGTCTGAATCCAGAGTCGTACAACCCAGGGCCCCTAAAAACGCTACCAGTGGAAGATGACAAGGGGCAGCCGCAAGAAACTGACATAGGGCCAGTACCTGGAATGGGTAGTCATGTAGCAGGGCTGACTGCAGTTGCTGAATATACTTTAAAGACAACATTAAATTGTCCAGATGCAGAGCAAAGTACCTGGCAAGGTTCTATCCAGCTGCACCTACCACGCCCCACTGGTGTGACCTCAACTGAATGTGACTAAGCAGGAAAGACTAAACTGGAAGAGCTCTTGGCGCCAGGGTGGACAGTTCAATGAAAAGTGTCGTAGTGGGGAATGCAAATTCCCTCTCAGATATTATTAAGAAAGGGACTGAAAATCAGATGGCAGTTTCACAGTACCCAATGGTGCAGTCTCATTGGGAATACTATGTACAGTTCTAGCTAAGAGTGGATGTCACAAAGCTTGAAATGGGCAACTGAATGGAAGATATTGATGGCTTTTAGCCACAGTATCCTAACATGTAGGCTTCAATGGAGTGTCCCTATTCAGAGGCAATGTTCAGGGGGGCAAACAATAAAGAGCATTGTTGCCGCTTGTGAGCGTTCAGAAGCAGGTGGCTAGCCACTGTTGGAAACAGGATACAGGCCAGATGGGACCTTGTTCTGATCCAGCAGGGCTGTTCTTACATTCTAAGGGCTTAAAATCTGAATGTAGAGCCTATATCTACCCCTTCCGGACTACAAATGTTGTTAGGTATAAATGCTTGATGCAAAACCACTTTGCTCAAGCAGTTTGGAAATGTTAACTAGGGTAAATACTCACCTCTGCAGAAAAGGAGCCAGTCAAATTTCCCCATCATTGCAGTGCTTTATTATTTAATTGTTTATGCACACTTCTAGAATACATGTCGACTAGCAGACACAAAGGTTGCAATTCAACATCACCCTAACACAAACATTCCATGACCAGAGGCATTTCTGCTCTCCCCTCTTTCCCCACTCCATGCAATTCTAGAGAGCCTCCTGACCACTCCCCCTTTAAAACGGATTTGGGGACACAAGGGGAGGAGTGGGGAAATCCCACTGTGATAGCAAAGTCCCTGCACTGGCTCTTGCTAGTGCAACTACTCAGTTGAATCTGGCCCAATATGTTTCATTGGTTTCAGGGTGGCTTGTTTCAAACAAAACATTGACCACAGGTGTGTGTGTGTTTTTTGTTAAGCCGCAGTTGGCTTCTGAACTCCGTGCAGCTCTCCCAGAGGAGGGAGGGATTGTGCAAGCCCAAGACTTGCACATTGCTAATTTTTGTCATGCTAAATTATAGTTTAACAGAATATCCCAATGTGGTTAGTGAGCTTGATGGCTGAGCAGGAATTTGTTTCTGTGTCTGTGGCCTAAATACAAGACTCAAGCCACTGCACCATACCAGCTTTTTTTGAAATGCCATTACGTAAGTGCAGCCCAGAATGCTTAACAAGCATGGTTTATTTCCACACTGAAGAACACGATAGACACCTGTGCATTAATTGTTTCCTTGCAAAAGCAAAGCAAGGGACTGCATATGTAAAGCAAGAGATTTCTGTGCCTACTGTTGAGAATATATTCTGTTTTTCCATGGTTTGTAGTACAATTTACAATCGAACTGGTAAGAATTGTTCAGAACTAGAGCATGGCAAGGATGGACAAGGGTGCAGATGGATCGTGTGTGTGTGTGTGTGTGTGTGTGTGTGTGTGTGTGTTTGAATAGGTATGTGTGAGAGATGGGGGATACAGAGGGGGGTGGTTAACTGGCATACAGCCTCAGTAGATTCTCTATGAAAGAATGTGGTCCTCAGGCAAAAAACACATTCTTCTCCACTGTTTAAAGGTTTAACTCATGAATGTGGAATTTATTTTCTAAATAAGACTACAAAATGTTTACCCCACTGCATCCACAGAATATTTCCCTTCCTATATGCTATGGAGTACAACTTAACGTTGTACCAGGTTTTCTTAAGATAAACAGCAATTGTGAAAAGCTCAATATTCTTTCTTAAGTTCTGGGCACAATTCAATTATACATAGAACATATATAGAATTCCATTTGAATAATGAAAAAGTGACTTGATTTTACAGTAAGTATTGCAAATAAGAATGTGGCATGTATATTATATATTAGGTTGTGCTGCTAAGGTCTTTCCTATTGATTACATTACACACAAAGAAAGAACCTCAGCAACAGATGCGGTAATAATTAGTGAATAGAAATTTCAGATACCCAAAATGCTTTTTGAAATATTCTCTTAGTAATCTTTACAACAGTCCTGTAGAGAAGGTTAAGTATTATCATTCCCAAATTGCAAAAAAGGGAGAGGCTGAGAGAACAGTGGCTTGCTAAGGCCACCTAGTGAATTCACAGCAGAAGTGAGACTAGAACCAGAGGCTCTTCCCCATCTCAGTTTCTTAACCACTATGCTACACCAAATGAAGACCTCACACATCATGCAACCTTGCATTCATCACCAGCACACTATTATAGTATCAGGAATGCTGACACCCCACTTTTAAGCTATTGAAACCTAAAAGGTAGATTTTCAATCTACAGTAAGCGAGCAATGTTATGCAAATATTTATGAACTCGAGATTCCAAATTAAACATTGCATGTGTTGGACTGGGTTGCAAGTGTGTTCTAAAAAAAAGAGAGAGAGAAATCTATTACAATCTCAAAATATGCTGTCTATGACTATGTAAAGTTAAGCATAAATTTGCAAATGATCTAGAAGAATTACAGCATGACTTGCTTTTATTTAATAGTCATAGCATTGCAACCATACAAACCAATCCTTAACTATTTACTCAGAAAGAAGCCCCGGTGTGTTCAATAAGATTTGCTCCGAAGGAGACTTGTGCAGAACTGCAAGCTTGGTTTTCTGAAGTTTTCCCAAGTTTTTATTTTAAATGAATTTAATAACAAGTCTTTTTCTTTTCAGTGTCTTGGCATAGATACAGTGGCAATTAACATGTTTGCCTATTCTTAAAAGGAAATCTGAGAAGCATAGGTCCATTGCCTAAGAAGGCATTTCTTGCCAGTTGAAGATAAAAGAGGAGATTATGCAACTTTCACTGCAAGGTACCACTGTCAGTTGTCATCTTGTCTCTGAGCACTGTTAAAAGGCTAGGCATGGGCAAATGTATTTCAGATCTGGTAACATGTATCACTATCCAATTAAACGAAATGCATAAATATCAGGTCCTAGAGTTTTACTGCAGTGTAATAAGCCAACAAGGTTGGCTTGTACTTACAAGGTCATGTCTTCTTAATAATGTCCCATCAGAATTTGAAATAATTATAGCTCTACCTAGACAAAAGAGCCATGTGCAATTATAAGGACAAATCTGGCAGAAATGAGGGAAATGCTTTATCAGCTTTTGGAAAAGGACCTGGCAAAAGAGATGAGCATGACTAAAGAGG